GGTGTGCAAAGAGCATAGCAAAAAGGATGTGAACCCATGATAACACAACTCTGCTATGGAGTAGTAAAGCTTCACAGTGCTGCTGAATCTCACCATTCCTCACCATTCCAGGCACAAATTACCAACAAAAAACTTCATGGCAAATTCTGAGTCACCTCCTGCTTCTCTTTTGCTTGTCCATAAAAAGAAGGCAGCCTGCTGCTGCTGCCAGCTCATCTGCTAAGTTCAGTGGCTGGGGCATTTTAGTGCCTAGGAAGGTTCCAGGCCTGCTGATGTCTCACTGAAATGTAAACATACCTCCACACGAAATTGACAAATACATAAGAAGAGCATACAGGTTGTGAAATCAATCACTGCAGCGGCACGGAATGCTAGAATTAAGGTTGTCCTGGTAATCTTACTTTGGTCCCGTGGACTCTGTGTTGTGCCATCTTTGACTGCAGGATTCTTTTCTTTTTCCATAAAATTAGCATATTTTTCGGGGCACATGAATGATGTGCTCTGAGCATGAATCAGGACTATACAGTGATGGGGCCGTTGTCTATAAATTCCTTCCCTAATTTGTAGCAGAAGTTGAAATACGTGTAGAAGACGGGGCAGAGGACTGCAGAAGAGAAGGGAGCTGGTTTAGACCTGGTTCTGCCAACAAGTTCCTGCTCTTTGCAAGTGGGCTATTAATTGCATGTTCCTGATTTTATGGGTACCCAGACTAAGAATGAGCTGCTCCATTTCTCTTGAGTGCTTACCCCTGCAACAGAAGTCAAAGGAAGCTGTACTATGAATATAAAATGCTATATAATGCTCAGTACTCTGAAAGATCAGTGCTTCACACCAAACACCTAAACTCAGTGAAGTGTTCAACATTTCGGGCATTATCAGGGAATTATATACCTCACCTCACAGATATTCGTCAGCTCTATTGTACTGATGAGCTCCACAGAGAGAAAAAGCCTTTGAAGGAATCAGTCATTCTGGATTCAGAGCTGAGTTTATATAGTCTTAACAGCACAAAAGGCACAAGTCCACACATTACATGATGAGAATTAAATGAAAAAATGAATAATTTCTTATTCAGTGATCACTGTTTATCCTATGCACTGACTGAGGCGGGGGTCTAGTGGAAAAATAGTATCCAGTCATGAAATTAAAGACTTTGACTTAATGCATACGGACAATTGGTATTTAGGTAATGTCCAAGCAAACTTACCATGATCTTGAATGCTTCATTCTTCTAATGTAAGATTCTATATTGTTTGAATCTGAGTATAATTAATCATGCATGAGGAGAGAAAATACAGATATGTTTATGAGCAGTGAAGAGATGTTCATTTTTCCTTCTTACTGAGCAAGTGAAAGGTCAGTAATTTCTACTGATCCCAGTTTGCATGGTGGAATCTCAGAAGAGAAGGCAGAGTGAAGGCTGTGCTCACTCCAGCGATGCCATGTCTGTCTTTTGGGGTAGTTTAATACCTTCTAGGGTTTAGCTAGAAATAGCTGCAATAGCAGCTATTGAGAGTCTCAGAAAGTGGCAGTATGGGTCCTCCAGGAACTCCTGGAAGGAGGGATGGTGGGAAGTATGAGGAAGCTAAGGGAGCAGCACGGAAAAGAGAGCGCACCTCTCCACCTGGATGGCTGGTACTTCACAGAGCGAACCGGACTTTCCTGCTTGGTGAGCTGCACAGTTCATGTTTTCTAGTTCCGCCGCATCTTACTTGCTGACATATTTGCTAGAGAAATTGGACGGTAGTGTCCTGCCCCTGGGGCTCCTGCCTGTGGCTTTTTCCACAGATAGAGCTTTGCACAGTTTATTTTGGGGTTCTATCTGTGTGGGATGTATGAATAATAGTAGTATTTTGCTGTAACCATGATGACCTAAGGAGCTAGGCAAGAAAAGGAATGTAAGCAGGGATAGTATATTTTATTAGACCAACTGATGCAGTTAGAAAAATTAGATAACTGCAAAGGCCCAGAATGGCCTTACTGATATAAAAGCTTTGGAGTCTGCAGTGCAGCATACTTCTGTCCCCCTTCACTCTTCTCTGTATAGGATATTCCAGTGTTCATGACACGTGATGGTAAATATTTCCTAAACTATAGAAACATGAGTGAATGGGCCAGAAGTACATTTAAAAATGAAGACAGGTATACGAAATGGGGTAATCAAGTTGCTTTCGCATGTCACTTTGTTTGTCTGGGAGCAGAACAGAAATGGATTATTTGCATTCCTTGCAATCTCCCCTCACCCCGCGCTACAGAATTCCCACAGATATTCACTGCTAAAGAAACTGGTGCATTTCCCTGCGCTGTTGTGAGAAACGCTGTGGCCTTCTGCATTCCAGCCCCTGCTCAATAAAATCAGCAACATGCACCCAGGAGCAGCAGTCCTTCCGTGAGCTTCTTCAGTATTTCCTGTGTCTGAGTTTATTTCATGCGGTCAGAAGATCAGCAAAGGTCTTCCCTTCTCTAAGCTCTTCCAGTCCAGGCCTTCTCTTTGTAAAACTTGCGTTTTCACAGGAAATTTTGCTTTTGCAAATATCAGCTCATCTTCCCTAATGAAACAATTCAGAGCCTTTCTTTCTTTCAGGCAGGAATGTCATGTCAGCGTTCAGAAGAACAAAGCATCTATTTTGTGTCTCACACTATCCTTCAAGCAAATTTTAGTTAGACATGTCCAAATTATTTTACCAATGATTTTACTTGCTCAGGATAGGGTGAGTTAAAAACTGATAGTTACTAAGCCATACATTTATGTTATTATGTTCTCTCTGATCTTCTTTCTTTCCTTTAAAAGTTACTAAGTGTTATTAAAAGAGATTAGTGAACCATGAACAGGTGAACATGTCTTATGACAGTGTCTGGAATTGACAAAAACCTGTAACTAGCACATTTTGTCCTCTTTATTGAATTTTTCCACGTACAATAGTGACAGGAGGGTACTTATTTTGTCTGGGTGCAAAGCAAGGTTGATGGTCAAGATACAGACAGTGCTGAATGAGCAAACTGTGAAATTAGAAGTCGGTGTTGGCTGGACTTTTTTTGCTGCTGGATTTCAGGCTCTAATCCTAAAGAAACCTGCCCTTCAGTTTCTATCATCTGATTTATGTCAGAGGGTTATTTGAATTTTAGAATTTCCTCTGTATCATCATTCTTCTTGGAAGTGTGTATTTCAGCACAAGGCAGATGGCACAGATTATTTTAAATTCATAATGCATATATCTGTAGGAGAGCCATGCCACAGTTTGCTGATGCTGGCTGCCTGGGCTATGTATTCCCAGGAGCTCTACATGTTTAGAATGTATTCTTTTGCCCTTTCCCCTGTCGTCTCATGTTTTGCTATGATAGAAGCACTAGCAAATGAAAGGCTTGTTATTGATTTCTGTGCACATGTTAATAATTTCCATGTAACTCTTGCATTGGAGTGGCAGTAACTGATGTACAAAAATTGACATCTTAATTATTCCTTGATGGGAAGGGGGCCACTAAACTGTGATACAGCCTATTAACTCTGGATCTGTGGGTTCAAAGTGGCTTTAAGTTGCAAGTGAAATGCGTGAGGCTGTCTCAGGGTAGTTTTTACGGATGTTTGTGTGCCTCCCAAAGCCTGCAGGCAGTCTTCAGTATGTCCAGAGTAGAAGGAAGCAGAAATCCTGAAACAGAGAATGTTTTCCCCTCAGTATTTCTAGTCTAGCTTAAACCACAAGAACTGGAAATTTCAGGAGAAGCACAGTTTGTAAGCTGCTAAGCCTCATTTCTAGATGTCAAAATATGCATCCAAAAAGCTGTTATTTATTCAATCAAAAGGAGAGGTTGAAGAATTCTGATGTTTATCTGTCACTCCCGTCCAGTAGACATGGGTTCAGTTCACAGAAGTTGGAGCTTTATGCAAAATACCCATGATTTGGGAGCGTTAAATGGATGTCTAAGTACAGACATATATGCGGTCAGTAACAGATACTGAACTGAGAGCCCCAAAAATCTGATCCCAAGGCGCTGAAGGTATTGCCAAGACTGAAAGCCTAAACTCCTGTCATTAGAACAGTGAACTCAATTCCTTTAGTAATAGGTAAATATCAGGCTATTGCTGTCTTTGCTTTCAGCCATATATAACTTTATCAACATCCTTTAGTGTAGGAGCAGCCTTCTTCAAGAGGACCCTATTTCCCAAATAACCAGCCAGTCAACATACACCTCATAGCTGATGATTCCTTTAGAAACTACAACGTGCATTCCTCACCACTGGATTAAGATGACCAGAACAGAAGCGGTATCTATGCATCATTATTCTGTTAAAATTGTCATGCTTCACAATTCCTGTTCTTAGTCCCACCACAGCCACACCCACCATAATGCATCAGCATTTCAAAAGCTATCCTCTTCTGAACGATAGAGTAAATGGCAAAAATAGAAAAAATGATTCCTATCGTAGTGAAAGAAAAGATGTAATGTGAAAGAACAACGGTGAGAAATCTTAAGGCTTGATTGCTGTGTTTTTCACCACTATCATCCAAGATTAATTCCAGTGACTTAACTTGTATGATCCTTGAATTACCCAGGGCCTAGGTAGGCAAGAAAAAAATTAGATCCTCTAATTAATCCAATACATTTTTATCCTCCAGAGCTAGGCCAGAGTTTGCTTGTACACTGTTTACTTTGACTAGAAAGGAAAAGGGCAGCAGTTTGCTGATTGATGCAGTGTTCCTTAACAGTTAGTCTCAAATGCTGGCCTGTGCACCTATACTCGCAGTGGTAACAGTGCTGAAGGAGTGAGCCCAGAAGAAGACAGAACGGGGGACCTGGAAAGAGAAAAGAAGTTTAAATTGTAATCCAGGGTCTTTCAGCTTGCTCAGCTGTAGACGCAAAATGCAAACCTGAGGCATGAAACTAATTAGGATTCCATTAAAAAGAGGGGAAAAAAAATCTTGCTGAGACCCAAGTCACATCACAATGGTCAAAGTGAAACCTCGCTCGCTAATGTAGCCTTAATTCATTTTATTTTGCAGAGACAGCAAGCTCACCATGTTGCTTCGGGAGTCCTTGGGGAATATGAACTGCCGCACCACAATGATAGCTCACATTTCAGCCGCCGCGGGGAACTATGCTGAGACGCTGTCCACCATCCAGATTGCATCAAGGGTCCTCAGGATGAAGAAGAAGAAAACTAAGGTAAGATAGTCTGTAACTCGCTTCTTGTAATGGTGGAGGGGGGAGGGAGAAGGACCCTGAAGGGATCTTTAATGAGGTAGAGCAGCATATAACAAAATCAATAATCATAATTTCAAAGTGAATGGATTGTATGTATCCTGTCCTAAGCGAGTGGCTCCGAGCACATAGCAGAGACTAAGGGGATAAAAGCTTCAGCCTCAGATACAGAGGAGTGAATTCAAACATATCTGTTGTATCAGGTTTGCAAGCAGGCCCCATTTAGTGATATGGCTGTTAGAAAGCATTTATTTTCAGTTATGTTTTTAGTGCTGATGAAATAGTAAGGAATGAAACTGCTTTAGAGTTAAGGGAAATTGGGATTAATGTTTCTCAGAGACAGCAGGAGCAAAATAAATGCAAAGCAGTGTATCCATTGCTGGCACTGTTGCCCCTTTTATTCCCACTGCTTCTACATATGGGTGATAGATTTTTCAAAAAGTAGAGTGGTGGTGGGCTGTATCCACTTCTGTGTTTGTAGAGTCCTGGTTCCTTCTGTAGAGCTTATGTTACGAATTGGGTACAACCAGTGAATTTTCATGTGTTCAGTTCAAATTGATGGCCTATGGATTGACAAAAACTTTTGGTAGAGGCAAGTGGAGGGATTCGGTCTACACAGCATCCCAGCAGTGTGTCCACAGAGAGCTGTGTGCACCTATACAATTCCACACACTACCTTTTGGTAGTATGACCAAAAGGAGACTGTATTTATTTTCTGTGCCTTATTTATGTAATAATTTTTCTTGTTCTCTTGATACACACATGTGTGAAAAATCAGCAACACCTTTGACAGCTGGCTGGTTTCTTTGTTCAGGCTTGATTAAGGGACAGATCCTAATACATTTGTTCAGTACCTTTTTTGGAAGTCTTATAACTCTTAGAGTGGCACACTGAGGGCTGGAGCATCCGTTTCTATTTTGAACAGTGTTGTGTGTTTTCTGTAAGACTGTGGGTAACAAACATAAGTGCCACGTGCCTCAGTTTACAGCTTTCCCACTTCAGATATAACTGTGACTCTTTTGCGCATGTGCCTCATGCAAGGTGCCATTTGAAACGCTGAAATGTCGTGGTCTCTGTTTCTCTCCCATATTGCAGTACACATCCAGTTCTTCTGGAGGAGAGAGCTCTTGTGAGGAAGGCAGGATGCGAAGGCCAACCCAGCTGAGACCTTTCCATTCTCGAAACACTGTTGACCCAGACTTCCCTATTTTACATCTATCAAGCGATCCTGATTATTCATCCAGCAGTGAACAGTCCTGTGACACAGTGATTTACGTTGGCCCCAATGGCACTGCCCTTTCTGATAAGGAACTGACAGATAATGAGGGTCCCCCTGACTTTGTTCCCATAGTTCCTGCGCTGCAGAAGAGCAAAAATGAGGGCAAGTTAGAGGAGGTTTGTGAATCAGGACCCAGCACATCGGAAAGAGACTGCCTGAAGTGCAACACCTTTGCAGAGCTCCAGGAGAGGCTAGATTGCATAGACGGCAGTGAAGAGACCGACAAATTTCCCTTTGAAGAGATGCCTGCTCAATTTAGCTCAGACCAGATGTCTAAGTGCTCTGTCTCAAGCCAACTGGCAGAGCTTAGTCACTTGCCGGAGTCAGATAAGGAAGATACCATACCAGAATGTCAGTATCCTGAGAGAGAAGCCAAGGAAAATATAAATGCAACACCCAGCAAAACTAAGAGAAATCACTCCCCTGTTCCTTCTGGAGCTCTCACTAATGTTTCAACTCCTTCTTCTCCAAGGAGCGTAACTGGCAGCTCTAGTAAAGAGCTTAGCTCTTCCCAGTTAGCACACAGCACAAGCTTGCAGAGCAGCAGAGAAGGTCTCAACACCTGTGGCTTTGTGGAAGGCAAACCTAGGCCAATGGGTTCGCCCCGGCTTGGCATTGCAAGCCTCTCCAAGACATCTGAGTACAAGCCACCAACCTCTCCTTCCCAGAGATGCAAGGTCTATACACAGAAAGGAGTCTTGCCCAGCCCCACTCCCCCACCAGCTCCCTTGAGTAAGGATGCTGGGGTGATGTCCAGTGAATCCTCACTGCAGCCAGAAATCCGGACCCCTCCTGTAGGAATGAGCCCACAAATCATGAAGAAGTCAGTGTGCTCCAGCAATGGGGAATTTGAAGAGACCATTCTTGACGAAGATCAGCAACAAAACATTTCACCAGAATCCAGGAAGGAGACTTTAAGCACCACCATGGTGACTGTGCAACAGCCATTAGAGCTGAATGGAGAGGATGAGCTGGTGTTCACCCTCGTAGAAGAACTAACCATTAGTGGGGTCCTTGACAATGGGCGCCCAACCAGTATCATCAGTTTTAACAGTGACTGCTCTGTGCAGGCTTTGGCCTCTGGGTCTAGGCCAGTCAGTATTATCAGCAGCATCAGTGAAGACCTTGAATGTTACTCCAGTGCAGCTCCTGTGTCTGAGGTCAGCATCACACAGTTCCTTCCACTGCCAAAATTGGGACTAGATGACAAATCCCAGGATGATGGCAGCAGGCGCTCATCCATCAGCTCATGGTTGAGTGAAATGAGCACAGGGAGTGACGGTGAACAGTCGTGCCACAGTTTCATAGCCCAGGCTTGCTATGGTCATGGGGAAGCAATGGCAGAGCCTCCTGTCTCTGAGTTTGCAAGCACCGTACAAAGTGCTAGCGTGATTTGTGTAAATGACAAACAGAAGCCAGTAGCTGACAACATGCTCATACTGTCAGAAATGGGTGAGGAAGCTTTCGGCAAAGTGCCACCCATCAAAGGCTGTAAAATATCAGCTGTAGGGAAAACGACTGTCACAATCAAAAACACTGCAAGCCTCAGCAGCTGTGAGGGCTACATCCCAATGAAGACAAACATTACCGTTTATCCCTGTATTGCTGTTAATCCTTTTAAAGCACAAGACACCGATGATGCTGTATCGGCAGTAACTACAGACTCAAAAGTTGCTCATCCCCATGAAGGGAAGGAATCCAGTGCTAAAAAGGATCCCAAATTTGAAGACCCTTGGCTAAAGAGAGAAGAAGATGTAAAAAAGGACAGCTCGGGGAGCAGTGATGGGCCAAAGCCTGACACGGCCACAGTTTCAGCCAAGCCTGAGCAAAGCACAAAGCAGACCTCAGTGGACAGGTTTAGCAGCAGCAGCAGTGGGGACACCTCTATCTCCCCAGGATCTGACAGTCTAAAGAGGATCGTGGATGGGTGTGAGATGGCAGCTTCGGGCTCTGCAACCCAAAGCCCTGTTCATTCCACTGACAGCTTGAAGAACAGTAGTCTCCCTCGAGGGCTCCCGAAGGCAAGCAAGCCGGAGGAGCCTGAAGGTGTTCTCCATCCTACTGCCACTGACAACAGCAGCATCAGCTCTTCTGCCCTTCCCCAGTTTTCTAAGGCTAGCCTAGACAAAAAAATGGCCTCTCCCAAACACTGTGTCCTCACTCGTCCCAAAGGGACCCCTCCTCTGCCTCCGGTGAGAAAGTCAAGCTTGGATCAGAGGAACAGAGCCAGCCCCCAACACAGTGCCGCCAGCAGCACCACAAGTAGTCCCTCCAGCCAGCCTGTGTCTTTCCTGGCAAGCTTTCCTGATGAGCTGAATGGCAAACAGAAGGGCCCTGGCATTGACAGCAGCAGCAGCAGCAACAGCAGCAGCAAGTTATTTAGTGCCAAACTTGAGCAGCTTGCCAGCAGGACCAACTCCCTTGGGAGGGCCACAGGAAGCCACTATGAGTGTTTGTCACTGGAAAGAGCAGAAAGCCTGTCCTCAGTGAGCTCCAAAATGAGCCCTGGCAAAGACACTACCATGCCTAGGGCTGGAAGGAGCCTCAGCCGCAGTGTCATGTCCTCACCAACCAACTCGGGCCTCTCGCAGTCTGCAGGTGCCTCCCCAAAAGCCAGTCAATCTAAGATCTCTGCAGTCAGCAAGCTCCTGTTGGCAAGTCCCAAGGCCCGAAGCCTGTCTGCCTCTGCCACCAAAACACTCAGCTTTTCCACCAAGTCTCTGCCTCAGTCCATAGTGCAGAGTTCCAATTTGCCTCCGAGTGGGAAGAGCATGTCCTGGTCAACACAATCCCTCAGCAGAAACCGAGGCTCCAATCTTGCTTCCAAATTGCCTCTTCGAGCTGTCAATGGACGCATTTCAGAGCTACTCCAAGGGAGCACAAGTGCTAGAGCTTTACAGCTGCGTGGAAACTCCGAGGCAGATGAGCGTGGGGGCCTTCATGGAGAGGAGAAACCAGCTATTCACATGCTGCCTTCACCTTACAGCAAGATCACCCCTCCTCGGAAACCTCACCGCTGTAGCAGTGGCCATGGAAGTGACAACAGCAGTGTCCTGAGTGGGGAGCTGCCCCCAGCCATGGGGAAAACTGCTCTTTTCTACCACAGTGGGGGAAGCAGTGGCTATGAGAGCATGATGAGAGACAGCGAAGCAACAGGGAGCGCTTCTTCAGCGCAAGACTCTATGAGTGAGAATAGCAGCTCTGCTAGTGGGAGGTGCCGAAGTCTCAAAAATCCAAAGAAGCGATCAAATGCAGGTAAGTTCATGGTGGTATGAAAGAGGAATACAGACCGAAGAGGCTAGCTACTTCCTGGGTGGGAGGCTAGCCCTGAAGAAGCCTAATTCAATGTCAGCTGTATCTAGTAGCGGACACGTGAGGCCAGGCTAAGTGTCCTAAGCTCTGAGCTTCTTCAGTTTGTCACAGCATGCACCCATCCTATGTGGGTTTGCATTGTCTTTGCAATGGAGTATCCCCTTAAACCATTTCACTTAGGTTTATTTCACATTAACAGAAAAACATTAATCCATAAAGATGGTTGATGTTGGCAATGGCAGCTACTTTCAGGTATTTATTACAAAAATATTCTTCTGATTTAATTCCAGGAAGATGCTTTTGTGAGGTAGAGAGATTTAACTGTTAAGCACTTTGGGCAGAGACTCCCTTCTTGGTATGCATGTGTTTCAGCAACACCAGATCAGAGGCTTTCTGAATAGCAGTATTTGTCCTGAGCTCCCCTTTACTCTGTGTGCTCTCTGTATGCCCAAAGGTGCAAAGATGCCTGGCAGCAGCTGAAACTGCCATTCAGTTCCTTCTTAGCACCCATATTGGCAGATGGAACAAAGTCGTGCCCCAGGTCCTTGAAACATGATATTCCTGCCTCTTTGACTCCTGTCTTTTAACTTTTGAGTTACGGATCCTTCTTTTCCCAGTAATTTATTAATAACAAATTATATTAATAATAATATAAATAAGGGAACTACTGCACTGAAGTATTTGCAAATCTGAGAGCTTTGTAGCGATCCCCGGAACAATTCATCTTTATTCAGACATAATCCTCAGTAGCCTTCACACTACATCAGGGCTTTCTACCAGATAGCAAAGGCCTCCTGGGCCATGTCGGGAGTCCAGACAGTTGTAGCTGGTACATCTTCCCACCAGAGTGTTACCGTTCCAGAGGTTTGTAGGGGAAAGGAGGTTCCATCAGCTGGTCACCTCACCTTTCTCCTGGGGCAGGTTTCCCAACCTGCAGCAATTCCTAATATGTGAGTCTTGCCTAACCTCCCTTTGAGCAAAATGCTTATTGGGAATGGTACTGGCATGTACAGTACAGGTATTTGAAGTAAGAGTGACTACTTATCCTACAGTAGCTCCAGCTGCCCATTAGGAGCTGCAGCTCCTAATTCACCAGCCATTCCCACTTGCTGGGATACTAACCTCTGGGATTTGTATGCAGTGAACTGGAGTGATGCCATAGCTGTCCATTCCTCTGTGCTCTTAATTGTGGTTGCAGGAAGAATGTGTGCAGCACAGATGTGACTACAACACATACCACTGTTAAAATCATACCCAGGCCAGTGGGCGCATCCATAAGTGCATGGCTGATTGTATGTGTTCAAAGGACACATCAGAAAGTGATCACTCTACATAGTGCAAGCACAAACCAAGTGACAAAATAATCCTTCTGCCACTTGCCTCCTATGAGAAAAACTCTCTTCTGTCCCTTCAGTAAAGTTGGTAATAAATTCATATTCCTCTTTTTGAGGAATTGTTCCTCAAATAGCTCCCTTCAAATCTAAATTGTTTAATGGTGACTGGCAAGGAAAAGAAGGATAATTTTGTATGTTGTGGAAAAGAGAACCAAAGCTGACCACACAGATTGCCTTTCTGGGAGTGTGCTACCAGAACATAGCAGTTTATGTCTTGTGGGGAAGCTGCCCATATGATGGGCTTTGCCCATGGGACGTTTAGTTTTTTTGGATTCTATAATGAATTATGGATCTCTTGCTTTCTAATTGCCTTAGTAGTGTGGAGGTTAAGGCATCCAGTAATAGTCTTTGAGAGATGTTCATCTACAGTAGAAAAGTGGCTCTGTATTCTTTCCTTATGTTTGTCTTAGGGAAAAAGCTTTGTCAGTCCTGCTCCCATGACAGTCTGTGCTTCCTCCCAGTACTTCTGAAGTAGTTGGCCAATTTCAACAAAATTTGACACAGAAATAGATGTAAAATGTTAACAAGTTCTGTGAAAACAGGCAGCTGTGCAGCAGAGAGAACAGAGAGGAAAACTGCAATGTAGATCTGCTTATTACTTATTTTTTACCTTACTTATTACTTATTTACCTTACTTATTAGACACTAGAGAACCCTCTGCTCCTGAGGAAGACACCTGAAAAAACTACCTTAACTGCAAGAAAAGCTTCAGTCAGAGCTTGCACGTTCTTTAGACTTCAGAATCTATCAGCCACAAACCCAAACCAATAGGAGACCAGGATTCATTTGTTCTGAAACTAGTTGTTTCATTTTACTTCTCTCTGCTTTGATACCACATTGGGGACTGGACAAGATATGCGTGAGGAAAATACTATCTTTGCATTGTAGCTATGGAAGAGCTTCAGATCTGCGTGTTCTTTATATCAAGGTTTTCTTTTGGCTCACAACTTTGGCCTTTGATAGTCCTTGTGTAGGACTGAATATTGTGGCAGTGCCTGTGAAAACGGGAGCTGTGAAGAGAGGAGAGATTGGAGACTCAGGTTTCTGGTCACTCTTACAACAGTCTGGAGAACAAAGCTGGGGAGAAAAGGCTTTTTCCTTGGGCTAGGCAGCCTTTGATCCTATCTGCCGTAGTACTGACGCTGGGTTGTTGTGCCATGCTGGTGCGTGAAGGTAGCGACTGATGAGGCAAGCGGTTCGCTTGCCTTAGCAAGGAAGAAGTGGAGTCCAACCTTTGTCATCCTTTTACTGTGGTGTAAAATCTGACATGAATTCCATGTCTTTTTCACCAAACCATGTTTCAGCTAGTGTTGCAGATATCTAGAAGTTGTTGGATATGACTCTCTGGGGTGTTGGGTTTTCAGTGGGACACCTGTGTCCCCGGGAGTTGCCTGCCCAGGTAGCCTCAGCATAGCCTGGCATGTAGACCTCCCTCGAGGGATTTTGCAACCCTTATCTCTTAACTTAGCCTGTCACCTGACATAGGTATGGAGAGAGAGTGTGTGTGTGTGTGTGTGTGTATTTTACTTTTATGAGTATTTCCTTATATCTTTGCTGCAAGTAATTCCTGCATTGTTATGAATGAGTCGTACGTGTATCTGTATGTAAGTACAACCAGGGATTTTACACAAATTTAAAAAACAGTCTTTACTACCTTCTGTATCTTTAGCATCAAACCAGTGCCCAGGAATTAATAAGCCTTCACTTTCTTATAACACAGCTCCTGTTTGCATTTGGGCTTGCAGCAGTGAAATCATAATTCTGTTTTGATGTGTTTGATAATAGTATAATTTTTCACATGTCAGCAGATTTATGATGCCATAAAACCAGGATTATGACTGCAATGCAGGATAACATGAAGGAGGAACTGAGATATAAGGGAGAACACAGTTGTTCACAAACATATTTTTATTGCATAATATAGAAAAAATGTTATGGTTTATTATATTTCATTTTCTGCAATACTTTTCTTTCTGTAGATTTGTTCTAGTCTGAATGATCTCTCCTAAGGAATGATTTTAATGAAAAAAAAGCATACAAAGGTTCTGAGCTCTTAAAAGATGGATATTATTTTAATACGTAGTGTCAAGAGCATTGGACCTTTCCTGATTTGTGGTCACACATCCACTGTGCTGTAATGGATATGGCACTATAGATATGCTCATTTCAGGTCAGGCAACCTTGTCCACTTTATTTATGATTATTATTAACAGAAATGCTAGCTGTCAGGCACAATCAACATGAATCAGCCCAAGGCCCCTTTAAGAGAAGCTATAAAGAGTCTTTAAGAGAATCACCAGCAGCCCTGTCAGATTTCAAAATTGCTTTTGAAGTTCTGACACATTGGAGAGACATCATTTTTTTCGTGAGATTAAGATCTTGTCTTTCAATGCTCTTAAGTGCCTTATTTGTACGTGTAGGTGCTTCTGCGCTTCTTGTCATGTATTGAGCGTCAGACCTGCATTGACAGCTTTTGAGAGATCAAGTGAGTTCATATGCATCAGTGTTAGCTGTGGGTTAAATTTTGGGCTCTACAGGGGCACATGCGCAATTCACAGACAGCCCAGTATTCTACGTACCAAAAAAAAAAAATCAGAAAAATGATTTTCCCCTTGCCTTCTGCTAGCTACTGAAAAATCATGTATTTACATCATGAACCACATAAGCCTTCTCCCTGAAGCTAACCTATCAGTTTAATAAGCATTCCCATCTTTCTAGCATTTAACATTGGTCCTATAACATCATGTCAGCATATATTGTCCCAGAGTGACTGCTTATGGCAGAAAGAGAGCTATTTAGCCCTGATCTATGGCTGTACATTTCGAAGCTTTGTAGAGCTGCTCTTTAACCCACTGCGTGGTGTAAGTAGTATTATAGACCCCATTTTACAGGTGGAGAAATCAAGGCAGAGGGCTTTACTGACTTTCCCAAAGCCTCTCATCAAGTGAGAGCCAGATCCGGGATTAAATTGCAGGCACCCTTGACTCCTAACCGTAGCCTCAGCTGACTCGGCCGCACATCCACTCCTGCCCTTGCTCTTGCCCTTGCCCAGCAGTGGGGCAGGAGGGGCTTTATCTGCAAGCACGCCTTCTCTGCTTTCTTTGCTCACGCCATCAGCCTTTTCCCTGTAAGGAAAAGGCATCTCAACCATTTGCCTGGCTCTGAGTCTAGTCTCCTCTCTCTCAGGTAGGCTGGACTGGCTTGAACACAACTCTGAAATGTTAGGGCACAGTTTGTACAGTTATCACTAGCATCGATTATACATTTTTTTTTAATACCTCAGAGATGTCAGGTGCAATGGTCTAGCGCTGCTCTGTGGAAAGTCAACGACAAGTGAGCTTTTGTAATACATACTCTTTTGTGTGATCAGGAAAAGCATTCAGGCTTAACTCCATTTAAACAAAGCCCTATTTGTATTCTGGGAGCACAACAGGTATGAGAGACGCAGGCAGGGTGGCAGATTAGGACTTGCAAGATCTACGTTGTATTCTCAGTTGTGGCCGCTGGCTTGCTGTATCACCTTGGGCAACTCATGTAATTTCTGTGTTC